ACAGTCTGATCTCACGTTCGACTTTCGAGCGCGAAAGCGGATCCAAGGGGACGGCTCGGGGAGTAGGGCGATTAATGGCCGAAAAGGAAGGTGGTAACTCTGGTTGATTAAACTGCTTTTCAAAGTGTTCGGCCTAACGCTCCAAGCGTTTTGACAAGTTGTGGTAGGCTGTCCACTCTCGTAGCGCATAGTTTAACTAACACCAAGCATCCTGATGCCCGTTTCCCGTATCAGATGGAACAAGTTACGATGGCTACAAAGGGCAGCGGCTGCCAGCATTTCCGACGCAAGACGAGATCACCAGGATTAGCGATCTACTTTCAGGCAAGCATGCAGTTTCGCCTCGAGGGATTTGCGAGTCTCATTGTGTTCGCTTTCAGTCGGAATGGGCGGTGAGCGTCTGAAAGTTACAGAGACTGCGTAGAGACCTGACGCATAGGTTTGCGATTCGATTTGCCACATGAAAACATGTCTGCTGTCAATAATTCCGGGAGGATATGGGACTAGTAATCTTCAACGCCGTTCAAGGGGCGATCACTCAATCGGCATGCCGACGTACTTTGATGCAAATGCAGAACATTTGGCTTCGTCAGTTCTCAGGTATCCATGCGCTCTTTACGACATTGCGGACGTCCGAAAAACGTACCCGCAGGTCAGCACATACCAACGCGTGATCGGAGTATTTGCTTGTGATGCAAATAGAGCGAGTTTTGGATGCAGCCTCTCCAGTGGTAATACATCGCGATGTGATCGATTTGCGTCCATGGTTCGTCCAAGGCTGGTGGGCGCCATGTCACCCTCCGGCGATTGCTGTGTCCGAAGTAAGTGCTCGCAAGAAATAGGCGAATATCTTCACACAACTGAAATAACCGCACACCGCTATAATTAAGGCAGAGAGAAGACAGAGGTTGCGATATGTCAACATTTCGATTGTTCTCCTCAGTCGCAAACACAATACGAATCTGAGAATCAATCGGAGCCCGGCATCGTCTATCACCAAGCACCTCATGACAACCCGTCATCACGTAAACCCCGAGACAGCGTTCAAAGTGTTATTACGTAACAAAAACCCGATAATGCTAGCAATTAGTGAGGCTTTGTTAATTAAGGCTTATCAACCTGTGCTATGTGCACAGAAACTCTTGAGGCAATCCATTGGGTTGCCATGGTCTTGACTGTGACATTTTGATTGGTGGTGCCTTTTTTCCCATGTATATAATCCCTTGTATATTTCTGATCGTATTGTGTTTGCGACTGAGGAGAACAATCGAAATGTTGACATATCGCAATCTCTGTCTTCTCCCTGCCTTAACGAAATAATTAAGGGAGCCTACACGGTGTTGGCCGAGCAGATGCAGCTCATGTGTGGGAAAATTTTCGACATGGGCGTTCAAACCCCAAGCAAACACCACAGAATTCGTACTCTTTATGACGCAAAGCAGTTCGATTTCTGGTGATATGAGACGTCTTTCACAGAATTAGAGCCGCAGTTTGTGGGCGCGTAGGCCGGGATAACAAACAGGCACCATTTGTCTCCGGACGACCTATCACGTCTTTGTAATTGGAGCAACTCAAGCCGGCGCAGTCTGGGGCCACGTTGAGCTTCGTTTTCTTAAGGTAACACCAATTCGTAGTTGTTTCGCCGGCACGTGCACATTCAGTCAGCTCGCGGGCACTAGGCTAGTTCTAGATATGGTTAGCGGCATCCGGTTTCGGATTTGCCTGTCACTGTGGCCAGCCACAGGACGCCTGCGCCTACAGAGGGACCATGGGTGCATTGCGCTGCACCACCACACACCACATATCCAGTGTAAACCCGAAGAAATAAGACCGGGAGGAATGTGGATGGGAGCCATGTGTCAACAACCGAGCCGGCCCACACTCCTTTACAGGCAAACACAAACACGCTGTAGTTGGGAATCAAACGCAAACAAAGCAGTGGCTGGACCGTAGTCCGCTCCACACTGACTGCATGGAAGCACTCTTCGAGTCCAACACGGCCACAAGGACCGTGCACCCCGTCCCATCCAGCAACGACCAACTGTCTTCTGGAGCCAGTATGGACGAAGTAGTGGGTAATAGACAGGTAGGCACCTTGCCAACATGCACATCAAGCGCCCGAGGGACCATGAGTGGCTTGCGCTGCACCACTTGAAGCTCCATCCAAACCCCCATATCCGGTGTAAACCCGAAGGAATAAGACCGCATGGCATGTGAATGGGAGCCACGTTTCATTAATGGAGCCCGTCCACACTCCTTCAACATGCACAGCAGCAGCATTCCTGTCTATCTATGTAGGAAATCATGCGTACCAGACGTGCACAAGGCCGTGGCTGGGCAGCAGTCCACTCCACACTGAATGGAATCACTCTTTGAGCATAACACAGCTACGAGGACCGTGAAACCCGTCCATCCCCAGCAACGATACACAGTCTCCTGGAGCGAGTAATAGAGGTGGAAGGTTATACAGGTGGGCACTCTGCCAACATTCACCTCATACGCAGCCACACCGGGGAAATCAAAAAACAAACAGAATTTAAAGAAAAGAGACTTCGAAGCCTTGAACAAGCCAGCTAGTCTGATGACGCACATCCGGCGCTTAATTGGGATCGAATCGATCAGGATAGCTTCAACTAGGAAACACAGAGCAATTCACATACCGAGTTGACAGGTACTTAAAGCTGCGTTATGTCCGGACAACTGCCACCATTGCCTCATGTGGGGGATCGCAAAGTATGTACAGAGCTCGAATCTTGCAGGTGGGTTTCCGATAAACAGCAGATATCGATCGATAGGGTCTCATGTGTGCGAGCAAGTGCTGCTTGTTGGCTAATCTGTAGCAAAATGCGCACTTTGAGGCATGCAAGTACTAAGGAGGATCGAAGGCCCTAAATAGGAATGAATGAACTCACGTTGTCCGTTTGGTCGAGCATGAACTTGCTGATTGGACCGGTGCAACGCTCTGCTATTGCGCATGTATTGAAACTAAAGAACAAATGCCTAATGGAACAGCTGGAGTAGGGCCAAGAATCAGGAGGTTGAAAACAGCGGCAATGAGAGTGAAACTAGTACGGGATGATTAGGAAGAAAAGGCACAAGAGGCGAAATCCGAAGAACAGAGAAGAAGCGTTCTCACCCCTATCCACTGCACGAGGCAGCAGATTGGGCGCCGTTAATTATCCTATGCGATGGCCAGAGCCCGTACGTTTAAGGATCACAAACCTGCCTTGTAACCCGATGGCGCAAGTTCGAGCAAGCGTAGGGGAAGGGCTACCCTAGCAGTATACTTTGCCTACGTGCGACTGGTGGCAATTGCGCGGCAGTGAAGCGTCGGTACTGAGTACCGGCGTATGGCTGATGCCTTTTACTTTTGGGTCAGAGCATAAAGGAATTGTTTGAAGAGAAATTCGTTGTACTGCATGAGCAAGATACTGTCAAGTTCCCAAGGCCTAGAGAGAAGCGTTAAAAAAAATTAAACTTTTATTCTTGACTATGCGGTTCAAAAACTTGACTGTAAGGCAGCAGGATTTCGGTACTGGGCTACAGAGAGTTCGTTTTACGGAGTAAGGAGCCATCCTAACTCTCACCCCCAATCTAGAGGGCCAAGAGGCTGAGTTTGCCTGGCCTCATATCATTGACTAATATAGTATGAGTGGCTCTGAAGGTGCAAAATACACCACCCAGCACAGCTCAGTGGATTGCTGAGGCACGCATACCATCGCAGCACATTAGAATCAGGTCTCATCGCAATGCTGCTGGTAGTTCAGAGCTTGTTAAAGTGCTACTCACATATCTCTGGTATACTGTATTCAAGAGCCTTATGTATTAATGAAGAGCCAGTATCCAGTTGCGTTTTGGGAATTGCGCATTGGACACAAGCACTCGATAAGCGATTCGAGCAATTAGTCGGAGACCCAGTGACCAGCAGTATAATAGACAACTTCGCAGGTGTAATGAGCCGCGAATAGGAGCTCTCAAGCCGGACTTCAGTGAAAGCATAGAGTCGATATGCAGTAGTTTTGAAAACTGCTGGAATATTCTGGTAGAAATTTTGAAACCATGAGAAATATCCTTGTCATACAGATTTCAGCAAATGAACGTGTGATGAAAAAATAATAAGGGTGTCTGAGGTTATCCACAATCAGTACACAGGCAAGAAAACGAGTAGCGCATCAGCACCATCATCCAAGAGAAGTAAAGTAAAACAGAGCGAAGAACATTACCTACAGATAAATGGTAGGTGTCGTCCGCTAGTAACACCACTCCACGACCGGTCCCGTACCCAACAGGTAGAGGTATTTTGAGAACCGTGTCTGTTTAATTTGTCAGCTGCTCGAAGTTTGGTCACGAGCACACTGAGGTCCATTCTTGTGAAAAAGTTAACAGTTTCTGGTGTTGGTGCACGAATAAGCTGAACAGGCTTCGATCACACTGAGAGTGGAACCATAAGACGAAAGTGCAGAAGGGGTTGCAAAACGAAACATGGTCATCTCAGTGCAAAAACAGGATTGACAGATCATCGAAAGCAGACGACCAATCGACCTTCAGTCACTAAGTAATATCAAGTATCATGCGCAGCAAGAAATGGTGTCGACAAGTGAAACCCTTATGCACCAGTGACAATTTGGACGATAAAACTACAAGAAAAGTCGGCCGTGAGAGATACTCATCCGCCCGTCCAGACTTGATTGGCGAAGACCGTCACCTATGCGAAGAGATTCTCTGTAGACTAGAATGAACGATAACTGTCCAAGTTGGAGTGACACGCAAAGACAAATAACGATACTCCGACCACCACTGGGTGATTATCAGATTCAATATCCGGGTGCCCCAACAAGTACGAGAATTAAATATACAGTGAGCAAAAAGCACTTTCAGACGAAACGGTAAGTCGCTTTCAGGCAGACAAGCTGACTATAATGAACCAAGCTCAGAAATGAATGAAGGCCGCTAGTAAACCAAACGGACATCAAATGTGCTGAACTGTTAAGAACAACTGATGACCATTTATTATCACAATAAAAATAAGATACAGAGTATCCGAAGAAGAATAAAAATATTTGTGTGTATCATCGCAATCGCCGATAAGTGAGGGGCAATGTAGCATACAAGATTTGGGGATGGGAAGACTGTTGTTCATAAACACTCAACCTGAAGGCAGTTGATAGGTACAAGCCCAGGAGGTCGGTCTTTCAGCAGCACTTCGCAAAACCCGTCGGAAAGGACTCTGATGACTTTTACCGTATCCCCAATCTGAAGTAAACAGAACAAAAATGCAGTCGGCAAGGGAATGACACAGAGGAGCATAATCAGCGTTTGAGGGTCTTGAGTGTGCTGGAAGCCATTATCGGGTAAAGAAAAATATCAGACGAATATGGTCCAATTGGAAGCACGTGTTTTTAGGCAGTGATGTTTAGTTGAACCGAGTTTGATCTGCAATGGGCATACGAATGCATAAAGTCAAAAAACCAGTTGTTCCGTCTCCATTCGTTCTAGAACAGATCTCAACAAAGAAGCGCGTTACAAGGGTGAAACATTAGACCTACTTTCGCCGATATAAAACAGTGACGCGTAGCCTGATGAGAGTCAAAAAGTCAGTCATGAACAGTAAGGAAAATTTATCTCGTACATAAATTTGAAGCGTTAATCCAAAGTGACAGAATTTTACAGATCAGAGCTCATAGCTCAAGTAGATGCCATCAGTTCAACTGCACAGGAACGGACGCCCTGTCCGGTCTTTGTAATTGGCCCAACTCAAGCCGGCGCAATCTGGGGCCACGTTGAGCTTCGTTTTCGTAAGGTAACACCAATTCGTAGTTGTTTCGCCGGCACGTGCAAATTCAGTCAGCTCGCGGGCACTAGGCTACATCTAGATATGGTTGGCGGGCATCCGGTTTCAGATTTGCCTGTCACTGTGGCCAGCCACAGCACGCCTGCGCCTACAGAGGGACCATGGGTGGATTGCGCTGCACCACCACACACCACATATCCAGTGTAAATTCGAAAGAATAAGACCGGGAGGCATGTTTCAACAACGGAGCCGGCCCACACTCCTTCACAAGCAAACACAAACACGCTGTAGTTGGGAATCAAGCGCACACAAGGCGGTGGCTGGACCGTAGTCCGCTCCACACTGACTGCATGGAACCACTCTTCGATCCTAGCACGACCACAAGGACCGTGCACCCCGTCCCCTCCAACGTCTCCTGGAGCCAGTACGGACGAGGTAGTGGGTAATAGACAGGTAGGCACCTTGTCAACATACACATCAAGCGCCCGAGGGACCATGAGTGGCTTGCGCTGCACCACTTGAAGCTCCATCCAAACCCCCCATATCCGGTATAAACCCGAAGGAATAAGACCGCATGGCATGTGAATGGGAGCCACGTTTCATTAATGGAGCCAGCCCACACTCCTTCAACATGCACAGCAGCAGCATTCCCGTCTATCTACGTAGGAAATCATGCGTACCAGACGTGCACAAGGCGGTGGCTGGGCAGCAGTCCGCTCCACACTGAATGGAATCACTCTTTGAGCATAGCACAGCTACGAGGACCGTGAACCCCGTCCACCCCCAAGCAACGATACACAGTCTCCTGGAGCCAGTAATAGAGGTGGAAGGTTATACAGGTGGGCACTCTGCCAACATTCACCTCAAGCGCAGCCACACCGGAGATATCAAACAACAAACAGAGAATTTAAAAAGGATATATATATATATATATATATATATATTCCAGTGGTACTGCATTTGCTCTCTTCATTCAGTTTACAAACCCCCATCGAATCTCAATCCCTCTCTAATTTCAGTATTCAGTATTTGTCAGAGGAAGCAGGCTGCTCGCCCAGTTCAATCAGTCATCACCTTGTTTGCAAATACCTTACGTCTCGCTTTTTCTATGCTAATCCTATTATACCTTGGTCATCCAGCCAGTGCCGGTACACGGGTAACTTAACTGCGCGAGGTAGTTACTCAGTTCGGTTCCCTTGGCTGTTGCATCAGCAACGATAGGCGCATAGCCTCGGAGGTCAGTACACGTAGTGAAAAAGCCAGAAGTGCTTTCTTGAATCTGCGACATCTTTGGCAACAGAAAGGAGTTTCCCTCCGGCTGAAATGCCGCATTTACAAGGTCACAGTGAGGGAGTGAGACTTGGCGCCTTCGGTCTGAAGATATGAGGCACCTTCAAGTCTTTGATCATCGCTGTTGTCGGGTGGCACTAGTAGTGTCCGCAACAATGTGCGCATGCCACTGCTAAGCAATGATACCCAAGCTAGTTCCTTAGAATAACAGGTAGTACTGAATAAGTTGCGTTGGTTTGGACAAGTACTACGTATGCCTGGCCACCGCTTACCTTGGACAGACTTGTTTAATCTGTCAGATGTAGGTTGGCTAAAGCCTCGAGGTGGACAAAAGATGATATAGCAACGAGAAAGGAAGTCACTGACGACCAACCTGGATGCTGTCGGTCCTCCGCGCCTTCCAGGCTGGAGTCTACGTGATCAGCCTTGTGCTTGTCTCGAGACGTTACAGGACATGGCTCGCAACCGACACCAGTGGCGCGTCTGCTGCCGTCTTATACTTGTATTGTCGGTTTAAGGTGTGTTGTGCTGAAATATCTATGTGGAAATGGCTGATTATGATGGAGGGCAGTGAAAACCGCAAGGTCGTTGTCTCGCCGATGCCGCCTTGTCTTTGCGTGATAAACAGTTGTTTGTGATGGTACGTTATCGACAACGTGTAGGCGCCTTGACCTTGAAAACTTACTTAGGGTATCAATGTTCCGCGGTAAGTCCACCTTCTTTCCGTAGGTCGCTGTCGTTGTATGGCAGCGACATCACTCTTGCCCTGAACGGTAGAGTGTACAATGCAGCCGTACCTTCGATCCCACTGTACGGTTGTGAAACCTGACCCCTTAGAGCAGCGGACCTGAAGAGGCTAGTTATATTCGACCACCGGTGCCTTCGCACTTTGCTTCAAATCTGGTGGGAACACCGAGTGAGTAATGAACGTGTTTGACGTCTTGTTTATGGCGCAGAAAGAAGAAGCGGACCACTCAGCACGGTTATTTCACGCACCAGAATCCGATAGCTCGGCCACGTGTTATGCATGTCAGACCACCGATTCCCGCGACGTGCGTTTGCTCGCCAGGGGGTGTGGATGGAAGAAGAGGAGAGATGGGCAAGCGATGACTTGGTCTAGAGTAATGAAGGCCCTTAGTTCAACGTTCGCTTCGGTTGGAAGCTCTCGGCTCCCTGGTTGGGGTCCGAAAGCCGATGAACACGTTTGGCTGAATACACTTGCTGACATGACTAGGAACTGACCTCAGGGGCGTTTGTGTTGTGAGTTTCTTTGTATTGCCACATCTCTCTTAGCCTTACCATCCAAACTCGATTGCAATTATCAGGGATAATATGACTACTCTGCGGCACAATAGCTGGCTGTTAGGTCTCCGGAACGATGTCCATAGGTTACTGATGACTCAGCTAGCGTGCCACTGTTTCATGTTTTTTCTTCCTTTTTGTATTGCGGCACAATAGCTGAGGTGTTTTCCACTTGCAGCTAACGTGTATAATTATGGAAGCGAAGCGTCAGTTTAAATGGCTGATGTACTGCTGTTGATCAGGATGCTCCTGCTGCTGTTGTTGATGGAGTTACCGTTAACCCACAGCGTATCATGTAACGTAGCACCACCAATAAGACTGGACATTATCGTTCTGTGATGGTTATCGTGTCTAAACGACCCAGTGAGCCGTGCTAGACAGTCCCTCCTGCATCTCCGGAGTCACTCATGCCAGACTGACCAGTAACCAAAGACCAGAAAAAGTCTCCCGATCCTCCAGGCGACTCCCTGTAGGCCGCTGTCAAACTTCTGCGGTCAGGATTTTGAGCTAATGGCGTTTGTTTGGAAATCTAATCATTCTGTCTAGGCTTAGGAAACCTGCCAGTATCAATATCATGCTTACGTAATACGACAGCACACAATTGCTTGATGCTCTGGTCGTCGCAGATAAACAACGGCGTCCTATATGCTGCATGGCGAAGGGTGGACAGGAGTGAGGATGCTGCTGCTCAATCCTGCCCGTCTTCTTATTTCCCCTCTTGAGCATTTCATGCTTACCGTCCCGTTCCAATGTAACTTTGATCCTCCCAATTCTGGGTCTTCCGCGACCTAGCTAGGGTAGTTACTCGTCATCTAGTTTCGACTAGCACGCAGTTGCAGAGTCATGCCTGCCCAGTTGGTCAGACCATGTTCAACTAAGCGGAAAACGTCAGTGGAACTGCTTCTATTTGAAACGCTTGACCCGCGCTAAGACAGGCATGCTTCAACAGACAGAAGTTGCCCGAATACTAGAGACTGTCGATCAATACCTGCTGCTTATCGGAAACCCGTCTGCAAGACTCGAGTACAGCATTCACCATACGATCACTTTCGTTTTCCAATGGTGACCGTCTCATTGAGTCTATCTAAACGCATTTATAAATGTCGGAGAAGTCAATGTGGGTATTAATCTGAGGCCACGAACTGAAGCTGCTCCGGTAGATCAGATCCAAACCAGTAGCCGGATGTGCGTGGGCCCAGTAGTTGCCTCCTTTATAGCAGTCCCTACGCCCTCACAAACGGTAGTGTTAATTCATGGGAGATGACTTCCATCGAAAAGTCGACGACTTCCATTGTCACATAAGCATCACGAATACTTTGGTGCTGGGTAGTGATCTGTATGGTTAAATTAGGAAACCGTCCACGATGAGCTGCATCTGGACGGCCAACACAGTGCAGGCTCCTGTACTGATAACGGTGAATAGTTGCTACACCTGTGACGATGCTGGTCTATGTCTCGCGAGTACTAAATGCCGTCATACCACTCGCAGTAGGGTGACTTGGTGCCCACCCGCCTTAGACTAACCATGGACGCAAATCGACCATATCGCGATCCTTTAACGCCGGACAGGCTGCGTCTAAAATTCTCGCTCGATTTTCAGCATGTTTCGACTCCGACCACGGACTTGTAGGTGACGATTTCCGGATGCGTTTTGGTGCATGACTACGACGACGCTGAGTGCATAGACACCCATCAACTGGTAAAGCCAAAGGTTTTCAATGCTGGTATTCGAGTTGAGTAAGCGCTTATTGAACAGAGCTGACGGTCACCGGTAGCATGTTCGTCAAAATGTATTGGCAGCAATCTTGTATTCATGTGGTAAATCTAACAGCGAACTGGGACATTAGGTCTCTACGCAGTCTCTGAAACT